ACTTACCCTTCTCTGCACATACCTTCCCCTCTTCCATTTCTCTCTGCTTTTGCATATGTTATCCATGTGTGTTGCTGGCAAACTCCTCTGCACCCTTTAGGGCCGACTTAAACAGCGCTCCTCTGTGATACTTTCTGTTGTGTGTTCCCAAAGCGAGTCATGCATTCATCTGTTATACCACTTTTATGTAGCAGTAGAGCTATTTGCATGTCTTAGTCCCCAGTAGGTTTTGAGCTTCACCAGAGCAGGAACTAGGTCTTGCCATTCCTGTAAGCATCTAATAATTAGGAAGTGCTCCCTACATGCCAGGCATTGGGCTTTCTAAACATATGCACTGTCTCATTTAACCTGCCGCAATCCTATGAGGGAACTTAAGCTAGAAGAAATTGCACTGAAATGTGACAAAGTTGGGATTTGAATTCACCTGCCTGCACTGGGATCTTAACCACAGTTCTGTTTTCCTCATCTGAACAATAGAGATGATAATATACTTGATAAGATGATTTTGAAGGTTGAACGCCATGATTTATGTGAAGCACTTAACACAGTACCCAGTGAGCATTCAGTTCCATCAGTACTTACTAACAATGATGTATACTAGGTCCTTCAGCCAGCAAGGGGCAGAGAAGGCATTTGAACAACTTGGGTCTAACAACAGAGTCATGTTCCTTAACCCTGATGCTCATGGGCCACCCTAAGGAAGCAAGAAAAACACCCCACAGTCACCTTGTCCCTTTAGCAAAGGCTCTTACTCTTTCCATCCAGGGGTCTCTGGGGAAGCTTTAGAAGGTGGATGTGGAGAGCCGCCTCCATCCACCTACTGCTGCAGAACTCGGAAGGGTAACGAGGGGGCTGGTTCAGTAGCTTGGCAACTCAGTCAGGAGCCCACTCAGAAGACATTAGGATGTTACCAGCACCTCATTAGGCTCTAGCACTAATTGTTTATCTCTCTAAGGAGAAGGAAAGTGTGGCATGGTTGTTCTGAGATTCAGTTGTTGAATCAGCTGGTTCCTTTGCTTGTGTCCTCAGGCAAGTCATTTCTTCACCCAGTATGAGCCTCTTGTAAAAGCTCCTAAAGAGGCCGGTGAGGCCGTGAGTCCCCTGGCTCCCCGAACCTTCAGAAACACAAGCTTTTTTAACACCCCTGGGCAAAAGCCAGTGTTTCAGATAAGCACACCCATGGCTGCTTCATCTGTGAATTATGCTTTCTTAAGGGCTTCACTTTGTTAAGGCAGTCTATATTAATGTATACAATAGCCAATTCCTATACAAATTTTGGTCCAGCAAACCCAAATTTGTATATTTTTCATTGACTGTATAATACAGGAGTTATTTTTAAATATATGCAGAGCTGTTTGTAAATCATCGTAATTGGAGGATAATAATTTCGAAATATTTTAAATTAGTTTCTTGAGTGTGAGGCTGGCTCTAACCACAGCTCTGTCTCTGGTGCTGTGCCGTCTCCCAGGGAGAAACATGCAACATAATTTATCTTAAAGAATATTTTTGTTAAAAAAACAATTGAACACGTTCACTTATCTCTAGAAGAAGAGGTAGTAAGTTCCCCATTTTCCTTATCACCCTGCCTGCCCTCCCTCTACATGCGCACAGTAAGTGAAATAGACTTGCAGTCTTGAAACTAGATCATTGTCAGACTAGTTGCATTCAGCTCCCTGACTTTCAGTTCTTCCTGCAGTTTGAGAGGGCAGAAGATCCTGATTTAGCTTTGCCTTTCCCCTCCCCTCTGCCGAAACAAAGTCAGAATTCCCAGCAACAAGCCCAGCTCACACGTTCAGTTCCATTTCAGTCCCATTTCTCAGAGGCTTTCCCGCTTTTTGGGGTTGTCATTTTCTGACACATCCACATTGCACCCGGGTGTAACTGGGCTGGGGCTGCAATATGTCTCAGCATTCTGTGTCTGGAATGCTTACCAGGCCCCACAGTCTGGCCTTAGCAGGAAGCCAGGGTTCTGTATGTGTGGGCCTTGTCTATATGCCTGTGTGTGTGTAATTACCCAACCGTGTGTGTTGTTTCACCAGCAATAAAAATCCAGCAGGGAAATGAATGCTAAAATTAGTTTGTTTGTCCTTTGACAAGATCTCCCCAGTTGAAAGAATTTTGTTTATCTAACTGGCTGGACAGACTTTGCTAAAATCAAAATTAAATGCCTTGCTTAATGGTGCAATAGATTGTATTGTGAAGAGCTTCCACTGAGTTCTCCTTGAAAGGACATGTGATCTGGAAAGTCCAGCCTCTGGCAAAGTTATGACATTTTGGTGTAGGTGTTTTTTCCTCCTTGTGCTAGTTGTAGGATGGATGCCCATAACCCATTACTCTACCCTGAGTCACTCTATCTGTTGGAGGGTTGCTGGCTGGATGGATGGATAGATGGATGATGGGTAGATTGGCAGATCGACAGTTTAATTTGCTTGCCATATATCTTAAATGTAAGTTTGTTAATGCTTAAGAGGAAAGAAAACCTGTAATCAGTGTTCTTGCAAAAAAAATTTGCACAGCCCTATGGCTGTGTCTTTGGGCTTCATTCATTCATGTGTTCATTCATTCAACAAAAACAGTATTTAATAAGCATGTAGTATGTACTAAGCTCATGCATAAGATATAGATTTGAGCCGGGCGCGGTGGCTCAAGCCTGTAATCCCAGCACTTTGGGAGGCCGAGATGGGCGGATCACGAGGTCAGGAGATCGAGACCATCCTGGCTAACACGGTGAAACCCCGTCTCTACTAAAAAATACAAAAAACTAGCCGGGCGAGGTGGCGGGCGTCTGTAGTCCCAGCTACTCAGGAGGCTGAGGCAGGAGAATGGCGTAAACCTGGGAGGCGGAGCTTGCAGTGAGCTGAGATCCGGCCACTACACTCCAGCCTGGGCGAGAGAGCGACACTCCGTCTCAAAAAAAAAAAAAAGATATAGATTTGAACAAAATAAGAATCTCTGCCTGCAAAGAACTTACTGTTTAGTGTGAAAGACATGCATTGAAGGGTAATTAGACAAATAATTATTTAACTATAGCTGCAATTGGTTTTTATATTTTTATTGAGATTTAAATCGTGTATCATAAAATTCACCATCTTATTTATTTATTTTGGGGGGTTTCTTTTTTGTTTTGTTTTTGTTTTGTTTTGTTTTGTTTTGTTTTGAGATGGAATCTCACTCTGTCACCCAGGCTGGAGTGCAGTGGCACCATCTCGGCTCACTGCAACCTCCACCTCCTGGGTTCAAGCGATTCTTCTGCTTCAGCCTCCCAAGTAGCTGGGACTACAGGTGCATGCCACCATGCGCGGCTAAAAATTCACCATTTTAAAGCATACAATTTGATGGTTTTTAGTATATTCACAGAGTGGTTTTTAAAATGATAAAGTTGAGTGAAAACTTCAGTCTCTTCTGTTGCATTTTCAGTACAAGCACAAACACTTGGTCTGATTCACTCCAACAGATTTTTCATTCTGTTGACATTGTGACCTCAGTGATCATCAATGTCATAAAGGGAGGAGGAGGGAACATTGGAGGTGTTGAATTTAGACACAATAGGTTAGAAGCTTCCTGGGTTCCTCTTACCCATTCTGTAAGATGCTTTTCTCATGAGACAACTCCAGTGAGAATTTTCTTCTCTGCCCCTTACTTGAACTTCCTGGTCTGGGCAATCTTGTTTGCATCTCATAATTCTGTTCTTGAAAAATATATCCCCAAAAGATCCCCAGCTACAGGTAGAAGAAATTCAAGGATTGGGAACCCTCGGGGTCGACTCCATATATGCAAAAGTTAAAATGTCAAGTGCAATAAAACTTTCCATGTTAAGCTGACCCTGTTTCAGAAAAATAATGACTCATTAGTCCTCTTACTATATATTACTTGATTTGGAATGTAAAATGCTTGCATTTTCAGATAGCTTGCAGGGCGATCTGATGGGGCCCATAAGGGATTGAAGGAATCCAAGTTTGGTTTCTGGCTCTGCCCAAGTTTTGCTTTGCCTTCCTGTTCTCCTCTGAAGATGAGGGAAATGACACAGCCAGCCTCCTTTATGGGGGCTGTGAGGAAGCCAAGGTAGATATAAGGTACAGCTGCCTTGGACTGAGCTACCTCCTACTAGTGGCTAGGCTTTTAGGAACTTGTCTGGTTGGTAGACAATCAGCCATCTGTACAGAAAGTTCCAGACATCCTCCCTCCCAAGAACAGCACTGATTTCATCAGAAGACAGCTTTGTAGCATTACCAAAAAAAGAATAAATTAGCATTAGTGTTCTTCACAGAGTTTTGTGACAACCCCCTTAAAACATCAGTATCAAGGGTGAAATTCACTCCGTGATCATGACAACCATAATGTCTTTCACTTATATAGTCTTACACAAATTGCAGTGTACTTTCATGCTGCTTATCTCACTAATCCTCATGCCCATGTTGTGATATTCCCACATATCACAGGCTGTGATAGTCCTATAGTTTGGGTGAAAAACTCACCCTCCAGGGAAGTGACTTGCCTGTGATGGCAAAGGTCACTCATCTATCCTCTATCCTTTCTTTCCACCCTCTCAAAGCCTTGCCTGTTTTTTCCACTGCACTGCTCTGTAATATTGCCTATGATTTGCCAATGATTTGTCAGTTCCATTTCCATTACTCAGGTAAAACCCCTGCTTGTATAATCAATGGCATTAAAAAGAATGTCATGAATCCATCTGACAGTTAATTTTATTCACTAGTTCCCTTCTGCTTCGTAGGTGCCTGTGAGTTTGGGTTAATTAAGCTGAGTTCGTTCTCTTTTTTTACGTTTTTGTTAGCAAGCTGGTGATCCTATAGGTTGGATCACCAGCTGAGTTATCCATGGGCTGTGATCAGTGCCAGAACCTCAGGGAATCCTCAGTTACTTCCCCCTTAGAGGACTTGGTGGCTGTGCAGGGGGCTGTGCAGGGCTTCTGGATATGAATGCAGGCCTGGAAGCCACTTGCTTTTGACATTCATGTGCATTATCCTCTTCTCCTTTTAAAGATACATGACTGATGGTGGACTTGGCCTCTACACCCGTCGCCTGAACCGGCTCCCTGATGGGATGGCTGTGGTACGGGAGACGCTGCAACGAAATACCTCCCTGGGCCTCGGAGACGCTGACAGGTAAGCTTCCTCCACGTGAGGCTGGTCAGATGCAGAGGTGATCCCAGGGTGGCCTGAGAAATGAGGGTTATGATATTGGGAGAGTGAATGGAGACTTCTTTAACCCACAGAGAGGAGGGGAGGCCTGGAATCTATACCTGGGGTTAGAAACAGGCACAGTAGGTAGGAAAGGGCTGCTGAGGATTCTTGAGTCCTGCTTCTGTGTAGGGTGGTGCTTCTGACAGCAATAACATAGGGAGTTCAGGCTTGGGTGGTTTTTGTTATTGTTTTGCTTGTTGCTACTGTGTCTTTGTCAATTCAGCAGGCCCTAGGGATGTGCTTTACTTCCTCTCTCATTAGCCAGCTTTCTAGGTATTGCACCTTGTGGCACAGAAGGTCTGTGTGCAGAAAGGATCTCTCCTAGCCTTGGCTGAGTCACCTTCACCAAAAAGCCTCCTGTTGCAAGGTATTAGGAGGCAACACTTAAGGACATGGGTTTATACACCACATGCTAAGTAGTTGCCATCATAGAGGTTGATCAGGCATCACTGCCACTGCTGTCAGAGAAGAAAAGAGCTTCAGAAAATACTATGATAACAAAAGAGGACTATTTGGCCTCCAAGTTCTAGCCTTACTCTGACAAACTGATTCTATGACCCAGAGCAACCTATGAAGGTGAGGAGTTTGGACTGTATGATTTCTATTATCCCTTCCAGTTCTAATGTGCTATAATTCTGGATTTCAGTGCAGATTTCAAATACCCTTAATGATCTGGCTGTTTAAGGATTTGCTGGAACACTTGACCTCTTTCCACATCTGGGTTGATGAGACGTAACATGGAATTTAGATGCAAGTGTTGTAAAATGACCATAGACTTTTTGGGTACTAACCCTTTTATGTCAGAAAGCCGAATAGTAGCACAAGAACAGCTTCCTGCTGTTCCCAGGGCATGCTTTTTACAAAGAGCTAAGTGAATTCTGTAATTGTCTGGCTTTAGAGAAATAGGGCAGCACACCAAAGGGACAAATACTAAAATCACACCCAGAGATGGAATTTGCCGAAGAAGAATCTTCATGTTCTCTCAGAGAAGGCTGGGAAACACTGAATGAGTTGTTAGGAACTTGGGATCTGGCCCAGTCTCTACCACTAACTTGAATATGTCCTCCTTAGAGTCCCCCCAGTACCCAGGCTTGTGATTTATATCAGGGATGTCAAAAGGCCTTCCACTAGGGTTTTAGCTCAAGTCAGGTTTTTTCCTGTAATTAACAAAGAAAGGAATGGGTTTGAGAATTCCATAGAAATATGAATCATTTGAGAACTGTTCTTTCTTTTTTCTTTTTTTCTCCTTCTCCCTTTTTTTTTTTTTTTTTTTTTTTTGAGACAGTCTCACTCTGTCACCCAGGCTGGAGTGCAGAGGCATGATCCCGGCTTACTACAACCTCCATCTCCCGGGTTCAAGCAATTCACCGCCCTCAGCCTCCCAAGTAGGTGGGATTACAGGTGTGCACCACCGTGCCCAGCTAATTTTGAATTTTTAGTAAAGATGGGGTTTCACCATGTTGTCCAGGCTGGTCTCAAGCTCTCAAATTCAGGTGATCCACCTGCCTCGGCATCCCAAAGTGCTGGGATTACAGGCGTGAGCCACTGCACCCAGCCTGAGAACTGCTGTTTCTAAGGTGAAACTAAACTCTCTGTAACTAAAATCTTTATAGTAAATAATAACAGGAAAAATCAGTTACTACAACACCCCCACTGGAGATTTCACAATTTGCCAAATTATTTTGCTTATTTGTATTCTTCTCTCCGTTGTTTGGTAAATCTATCTGCATAAAATACAGGCCTCACAAGATACAGTTTTCCTTGTAGCAGAAGAATCTCCGCTAGAAAGTTTAATTTAATGCTTCATTGTAGGATTAATGGAATTATGATAGATCACAGCTGAGCTTGTTTCTGCTTCTGGAGATAGAGGATCTGAGGGTGGGGTTGAAAAGATAGGTAGCACTTGTTAGGTTGTTTTAGTTCAGCCTGTATAGTTAAACCAGATGGACAACAATGTCCTTTGGTTCTCTCCAGAATGGAATGCTCCGATATGATCATTTGTTTAAAACTGAATGAGAGGCCGGGCGCGGTGGCTCAAGCCTGTAATCCCAGCACTTTGGGAGGCCGAGATGGGCGGATCACGAGGTCAGGAGATCGAGACCATCCTGGCTAACACGGTGAAACCCCGTCTCTACTAAAAAATACAAAAAACTAGCCGGGCGAGGTGGCAGGCGCCTGTAGTCCCAGCTGCTCGGGAGGCTGAGGTAGGAGAATGGCGTAAACCCGGGAGACGGAGCTTGCAGTGAGCTGAGATCCGGCCACTGCACTCCAGCCTGGGCGACAGAGCGAGACTCCGTCTCAAAAAAAAAAAAAAAAAAAAAATTAAAACTGAATGAGGCCGGGCATGGTGGCTCATGCCTGTAATCTCAGCACTTTGAGAGGCCGAGGCGGGGAAATCACCTGAGGTCAGGAGTTTGAGACTAGTCTGGCCCATATGGTGAAACCCTGTCTCTACTAAAAATACAAAAATTAGCCGGTTGTGGTGATGCACACATATAATCCCTGCTACTCGGGAGGTGGAGGCATGAGAATTGCTTGAACCCGGAGGCGGAGGTTGCAATGAGCCAAGACTGTGCCATTGCAGCCACTGCATTCCAACCTGGGCAACAGAGTGAGACTGTCTCAAAACAAAAAACAAACTGAATGAAAACTGACAAAGTTTTAAAGAAAATACTCAGATGGCTTTTTAAAGACATAGGATTTGTAAATGACTACAAATTTATCCTTGTTTTACATAAGTTCTGGCCTATAGGCAAAGAGATATTTTCCATTATTCTAGAATATGCTAAATTTTTATAATTTCCAAAGTTAACTGTGAGCTGACCATAGTAATATTTCATCTTTGGCTAAGTTGAAATAGTACATTTGTTTCTATAAAATTCTTCATGTAAATCACAAATTTAGTTTTATGTAGTTACAAAATCTATATTCTAAATGAGTGTTTCCCAAAGTGGGAGGCTATCATGGTGGTATAGGAGATAATTTTAGATGGCAGATAGGAAAATACTCCTTTTTAACAATTACATTTTAATTTTAATTTTTTTTTAAAACTTACAACTAACACATCAAACCTGTGATTTTACAAATGCTGCTTAAGGTAAGGATAGTGTAGACTTGAGACAATTTAATGTGAAATATCGAGGAAGAATATTACACAGATGATACGTAGTTACATCAGAAAACAAAGGTAGTATGCAAGTGGCTGCAATTTGGATAATACTGTTCTTGTCCCTGTAATTGGAAATATGTTCTTTAAACAACTTAAATTGTATAACTGACCCGAATTCTTTCCTTTAAACCTGAAAATCGAAGGTCCTGGAGCTAAGGTTTTTCCAGGAAGTTCTGTATAAAAAGATAGCCCAGTCCTTTTTCGATTCACACAGAAGCAATAGACCACATGAGTTCTACAAGGGAAAGAGGAAAAGTACTGAGCGGTTAAACCTGGTTAGACCTCAGCAAACGAAAGAAAGGCAGATCACTGTTAGTAACCACAGCCAAGCAGCTGGGGAGAACAGCTCTTCCAGGGAAAGACCTTAAGGGATGCTGGCCTACCAGGCAGACCTTGCCTGTTTGCAGCAGAATGTGACTGGGGTAGCTTCAGGGTTATTAAAAGTAACTGATAGGAATGGATGCCTTCAGAGCCTGGGAGATAGAGACCATGTCAGTTGGTGAGTCTGGTATGTTACCAGCCAGCTTCTAAGAAAAGAAGATAGTAAAGTGTACCCTTGATCTCTTGTCACTCTTTAGGGCTGCCACCCCTGGGCTCCAGGTTTTCCCTGATAGTGATCAGTGTCTACTTCCAGCAGACTAGAGCCAGGTGGCTGAGAAGAGAGGATCAAAAGGGACAAATGGAGGGGCTTATTACACATCATAGGCTCCAGATAACAGACAGATAAAAGGAGCTTTGGCATGGAGGTCTCCAAACTGGCAGACTGGGAAGAAGAAATGTGGGAAGGAGGGCCAAGAGACTAGGCTAACAGACAGTCAAATGGCTCATTGAAATCCTGCCAGTTCCTACATGCACTGCTGTCCTTTCAGAACCCATCAAAAATTCCCAAACTTCAGCAAGTTGAGAGCTTTGAAAGCATAAAGATCAGCTCTGGGAAAGTTTCCACTTCTAAGTTCCTTTCTTGGTGACTGCAAAGCCACACCATCCTCCTCATCCTTTTCTTTACCCAACTGTGTTTTAGCACACAACGGGCTGAGCACATAATTCGGGTCAGTTATTTAGATGCTCCTCTTGAATGTCATCCCAAGATCACATAAATGCCATTGACAGCACAAGGAGGACAGAAATCAGGCTTGGTGTGACATTAGATCAGGAGGAGGACTTTGGAACTACTTGGTAACTTTCTTCTAAGCCATTAGAACACTTACTGAACTTCAGTGCTTTTTATTAATTTAGGCAATAAGGCCATATTACTTCAAACCTTCTAAAGACAAAAAAAAACAAATGCTGTGTGGTGAAGAGTCAGCCTGAGACTCGAACAAAATGAAAATCGCCCTCCACCTTTGTGCCAGGAAACCAAGCAGAAAAGAGAGACTTTTTTTTTTCCTTCTTCTTATAAGTTTTTCATTACCCTTCAAATTATGAATGTTTTAAGTATTGAGATTGCTGTTTCAGTGGAAGATTCAGAGTCACTGTACAGACTTTTCAGGCTGCATCCAGGCCCTTGGCACTCAGAGATGTCTCAGTTTCAGCTTGAATTGCAAGGCCTCTCTCAAGGAGAGTCTCATGGTGTGAGAATGTAACTATGCAACCTGGTATTTGAGCAGCCTGCCAAGCTGAGCCCTCCTTCCTTGCTGGGAGTGTCACAAGAACTCCAAGAGCCCAGGACACTGCTTGGCTTTGTGATTCATATGGAACAAAGCAGGCCTTCTGGCACCAAGCAGTGCATTCATGGATTCAGGTCTGATCTGGA